TCGCCGCTGGGCCACAGGAAGGTTACATATATGGGCGCGGTTGGCCGAGCGAAGTGAGCCCCACCCGCCCCCTCAGGAATCCTGGGGGGTAGGGGCAGGGTTCGCACGTGGCCCCCCTGACACATGCGAAGGGCGCTTGCCCCACGGTCAGTGCCCTCACTGGGACGCAGCCGTGCCTGCCCGCTGCCCTCAGGAGGGGAAAAACACACACAGACACAAAGAATCGTCGATCCCCCCGAAAATATGAGAAAATATGGGAAGTGGGGGGGAAGCCCAAACCCAGAAAATATTTGAAAATATGGGGAATATTTTTATTTATGTGTATTTATTTGAGTGTCCTGGGGCCCCTCTATGCCCGGCCCAGTGCATCGGCACAACGTGTCCCACGCGGGTGCGCACGACCAGGCCAGGCCGGGAGAGGGATTCGGAACCGAGGGGAGGAACAGCAGCAGCAGCAGCAGCAGGAGGAGGAGGGGGAGGAGGGGGAGGAGGAGGAGAAGGAGGGGGAGAAGGAGGAGGAGGAGGAGGAGGAGGGGGAGGGGGGGGGGGGGAGAGGAGGAGGAGGAGGAGGAGGGGGAGGAGGAGGAGGAGGAGGAGGAGCAGAGGAGCCACGGGCAGCAGCAGGGTGGCGACAACGACGAGGAGAGGGCCAGATCCAGCAACGTCGCCTGCGCTCGGGCGAGCGCGCCGTTCTGAACGACAGGCGCAAACCGCAGATCCTGAAGTGTGGTCGACGCTGAATCGGGCAAACCAATCTGGAATCCCGGAAACGTTGAAACCTGCACATACATCACATTAGATCATGAATTCCGGTGTGATTGAATAGTACGCAAGGGGTGGTGCTCCCTGGTCGGGCAGGGTCCAGAGTTGGAGGAGAAACATCGCTCATGTCAAGGCGGGTGCGCGCGCAATATCTGACACCATACCCCACCCACCCATCATTCTGAATTCCGCCAGCTCTTGAGGGCGTGAATGGTTGGGCACGTTTCCTCTTTCATTCCCCCCGCTCGTCCCCTGCTGAGCGGGTATTACCCCTCCACCTATCCCCCCCCCCTGTGCCTGGATCGGGGAGGTCGCGGGTAGGTTGAGTGATCAAGATGCCCTCAGCGAGAAGAAGAACATCATAGAAGTTTCAATATGTTCTGTCCGTTTTAGCCTTTTGGGGGGGCGAGACCGATTAAAGGCCCCCGCTCTTTGATCAATCGCCCCCATTGGTCCCAAGACGGCCTGACAATTCTACAAAGGGACACCAAGAGGCGCAGCAGATGCGCCAAGGGGCCCTGAGCGGCCCCCAAGAGGCAAGAGACACCCAGAGGCCCCTAAAGCCCCACGGATGCATCAAAGACGCTCCAAAGGACCTCCCAACAGCCGGCAAAAGGCCCCCAGACGCTCCAAGATTCTTCTGAAAATTCAGGGCAGCTCCACCGGGCATCGTGTTTGGTTGGGCTGGCAGGGATACTCGAAGCGTTAGGGATTGCGCTGACATTTTCTCGCTCGCCGATTGGTGTCTTAGCGGACCTGTATCCCCCAGGTGGCGCCATCGTGCGATTCGCACTCAGGAAAAGAGTGCTAGTGCATTGGAGCAGAAGGTGGCGGATGATCATGACCTCTGCGAGGTCCCACGAGGAACGCGATCAGCACGTACAGCAGGAACACGTGCGACTTACAGCGGCTGACGATCTCACTGACCCGCGGCCACCAGCGCCGTGCGGGCTGAGCTGGTTGGGGTCTGCACGGGCTTTCAGGGTCGCAAGGCCCGCGGCTACAGGGGGCCTCGCATTCATGTTTTCACCAGTCCTCCAATGTTCCGTCGGGCGTGTCCCTCTACAGGGGGGCTATCCGAAAATCGTAGCACAATAGTCTGGAGACGATGTTGGGAGGATTGTCGAATATGTACGGAACATGTTGGGGATATCTGTTGCCCAAAACCTGCCTGTAGGGAGGCATGCCCGACCCAACGCCAATACCACCTGGCCCTCAGTGGGCTCACTTCCGGCGTGTCTGGCCAGCAAGCCTCCCTCCTCGTCCTCCTCCTCCTCCTCCTCCTCCTCCTCCTCCTCCTCCTCCTCCTCGTCGTCCTCGTCGCCGTCGCCGTCTCTCCCCTCGTCTCCCGTGCATGGCGCCCCTGCCGGCCAGAGGGGCGCAGGCAGCCGCGCCTCTTGAAGAATGCCCTCCTGCACCGCCTTCACACATCTTACGTCGGGCCTGTCGCTCTACAGGTGGAAGGCCCAAAAAGTCTAGGGACGATGCTTCGACTACTTTTGAACATGTTTGGGATCTTTTGGGGCTGCTGGAAATTGTTGGCCCAAAGTCAGCCTGCGCGTTGAGGCCTGTTCTTCCCTTCCGTGCTTTTTTTGGGCTGGCCCTGCTGCCTCCATGGTGTCGACCGTCGTCAGCTGTAGAGCTCGGATGTTGTCCGCCTCTCTTGAACACACATGCGAGTTGCACGGAATGGCACGTGGATCACCAACGGCTCTCACCCGCATTACGCGTTCTGTTTTTCAGAAGAGCGCTCGAAAGTTGGGGCTGCGAGAGCGGGCGCACAATGGTGCGATGGCTGGCCCAGTGTAGAGTGGCATCATGCCCGCACTGCTAAACAGGAGCGCCTCTGGGCAAGCGCGGTGAGCACAGGGATCTGGCAGGGCCACCGCCAGGAGAGAGGTGAGCGGCCACCGACGCGCGGCCGCCAAGGCAAAGGGAAGGGCAAGGCTCAAGAAAAATGTGTATTGAGTTCGTCTTCTTCTAAGGCGGGGGGGAGGGGCTGAATGGAAAACCTCTGCCCGCTCCGCCTGGAGGAGCAGAGGCAGGACAGGATCAGAAAACAAACGTCGAATCAGAAATTGGACCGGAATCGACGCCAAACTGAATCGGCTGCGCAGCGAGGCGCAGCGCCCCCCCTAGCAGCGCCTCCAGCGCCGATCCAAGAAACCCGCGCGCCGAGCTCCGAGAGCTGCTGGTCGCGTCGCCACTCTGCCCCCCCCCCCCCCCCGCTGGACTGGAATCTCGGAGTCGAAGTGCGTTGGGGAAACCAAAAGGTACCGACACCGCTACTCCCCGGGCCTCTCTCGGGGGGCGCGTCCTGACCAGAACTTCGCGGCGAGTCCAACGATGGCGACGAGAACCTCCCAGCAGGCCGGAAAAGGGGAACCCCGCCGAGGGGTAGAGAGGTATGGGTACCTCTTCCTCCTCCGATGTGTCTGTGTGTACGTGTGTGTGTGTGTTGTGTGTTGTGTGTTGTGTGTTGTGTGTTGTGTGTTGTGTGTTGTGTGTTGTGTGTTGTGTGTTGTGTGTTGTGTGTTGTGTATTGTGTGTTGTGTGTTGTGTGTGTTGTGTGTGTGTGTGTGTGTGTGTGTGTGTGTGTGTGTGTGTGTGTGTGTGTGTGTGTGTGTGTGTGTGTGTGTGTGTGTGTGTGTGTGTGTGTGTGTGTGTGTGTGTGTGTGTGTGGTGTGTGTGTGTGTGTGTGTGTGTGTGTGTGTGTGTGTGTGTGTGTGTGTTTCGCTTCCCTCCTGAGTGGGCCCTGGCAGGCAGGGGCAGGAGGAGGAGGAGGAGGAGGAGGAGGAGGAGGAGGAAGGAGGAGGAGGAGGAGGAGGAGGAGGAGGAGGAGGAGGAGGAGGAGGAGGAGGAGGAGGGCGAGGCTGCCCTCCCCCCTCTGGGGCAGGGCGAGCGGCCCACGGCGAGGGGCCCCCGGGCTCCCTGCCGCAGCCTCGCGCGCGCGGCGCCGCGCGGGCCCTCCTGGCCCGTGCGCCCCTATGAGGTCGCTCGGCTGCGCCGGAAGGGCGCCGGCTCGGCAAGGTCGGACGCGCGAAAGGGGTACAGCCGGGGCGTTGACCCAAGGAACCCTAAATAAGGAGCGAGGCCCCTTTTTTCCATAACTTGACCTTCGACTTCCTGTCGAAAACAGAAGGAAAGCCTGAGGCAAGCTGCGAAACGCTTAAGGAACACGGAGCCCCTCCCCAACGAAAAGGGTTCCTTCTTCAGGGCCCCGACTGTACGGACAGAATGGGCAAAATAACCAGCCTCGAACGTATCCCTATCCCTAAGATGGGCAAGCAGAAGGCGAGGATAATATTAGGGCATGGGCCCTCAGAGACGGAGGGAATCCTCGAGATCGGCATCGAGGTGAGGTGATGTCAAGCATAAGGATAGGGATATGTTTCAAACTGATAACACCATGCCCAGCAATAGATGTTGTACCAAACCAACAGCGGCCGCTGTTGGGCAGGCGGCCTTCTGTCTCGAATGGACACAGGCCGCGGCGGCGTGGACAGCGAGCCCTGTTCAAAATGAGCAAGATCCGCAGAAGGGCATTGTACCCATTCTTTCCGTGCCCATTTCGTTCGTGCAGATGCAGTGCGGGACGGACAGACCTGAGCAGGGACCGACCGTCCCGGCATTCCCATAGGCCTACCACGATACGTTCTTAGAGCCCCAAGATGTTCTAAGCACAAGAGCAATGTTCTCAGAGCAGAAGCCCGATGTGATAAGACAAGACAGTCCCAGCCAGAAATGTTTCAAGAAAATTTCGTGGGAACCACAAAAGGTTCTTAGAACATTGTTTGGTAGGGCTAGAGGCGAGCCAAGACACTTCGCCACTGCTTGAGACAGACAGGAACCGTGCCTAGACGGTACATCGGTTGCAAATCGAATGTATGTACAATCAAACTCCAACTCCAGATGGGACGATGTACACATCTGCCCGGTCATGCCCGACCCCGCCAGGAGGCACACAAGGTGGACGACCCGGAAGAGCAGCGGCAGCAGGTGGCAAAGGAGGGGGCAGAGAAGGGTTAAGTCGGGCGTGTCCCCCTACAGGGGGATTTTCGGAAAAAAAAAAATGCTCAACAAATACACCCAAATGGCCAAAACATACTGACAAAAAATCCCCATACTATTTCTTGACTATCTTTTGAATATTCCTCCTGTAGAGGGACAAGCCCGACTTAAGAGGAGGGGCATGCAGCGTCACACCTCGCTCCTCCCGAGGGCGCGCGGCGCTGGAGCGGACGGCCCGAGCGGCTCCGCCTCGCCGCTCTGGCCCTCCTGGCAGCTGTGGACCCTCGAGGTCGCTCGGCTGCGCTGGAAGGACCTCGGCTCTGCAACGTACAGCTTCCGGGGCTCGGGCAGGTCGTCCAGCGTTACGATGAACGCGATGGCAAATGTGTCCTTCGCGAAGTCCATTGCAGAGCCTGAGCTCATCAACACCAGAGGGGTATATGCGAAAACGAGATCGATGCACACCGCATTGATCACGAAACTCATGATGAAACGAGGCAGAACAGTCGCCCAACCGATGTTGATGCGGCCGTTCCTGTCGTATTCCACACGTTTCGTGTCCAGGGCACCTTCCTCAGGGTTGCCTCTCTCAGAGATCACGGAGCGATGCGACTCTGTGCACATCTCCGCACTGGTATTGAGCATGCACATCCACCAACCCCAACGCTCATAGAAAGACTTTGACACCTGCGTCACGGCCATGAGCTGCACAACGACCGAGCATGCAAAGAAGAGAACGGTGCGGTCAAAACCCAAAATCTTGGACTCGGCATCATCTGCGACTTCGGAACCCTCGGCCAAGGAAATCACCACCATCACCATCAACATGGCTTGTCCCAAGAAACGCATGCCGTACTCCGGAATATTTGAGCTCATGTCTTCGTAGACATTGAGGGCTTCCACGGAGTATTCCCCGAGGTCATTATCTTTCGTGACGTTATCTAGCTCAACCATCAGATTCAACCAGCTACCCTCGTTGTTGTCTCCCGAATTGTCGAAAGTAAAATGCGAGCGCTCTACGTAAATAGTCATGCAGAGGTCCATGGCGCTGGTAACGCAAACCCAAACAGTCAAATATAGTATCACTTGCAAGGGAGTCATCGTGTACGTCGCGGCGTAAATCCCAAGGTCAACCATCATGAACCAGAGAACTTCGAGACTGGAGCTTACAAGGCGGAATACCTTCCCGAAAAACCACAGCTTCGCCGGCACGAGGAATTCATCACCCGACTCGAGCGCAGGAGCTTTGACCCGATGTTCGTCCGAACAACGAGAGTCAATAAAAATCTGGAACGTGTGCGTGGCGCCATCGGGAGCGATATCTTCACATGATCTGAGGTAGTACGTACTGTCTTTTGTAAGGGAGCCTCTTGTCCGCGAGACAAGGACAGCCTCGCAAGCACATCCTCGAAAAACCTCCGACACTTTCGTCGTAGTCCACGTTCTCACAGTATCGCCATCAACGCGATCTACCACCATCGTCTCTTCTACTTCTTCTCCAACATAGTACTGGAGTTGGCCAACGTACTGCATGAAAGTGACAATGCACCATCCGATGACAGCAATTTGTGCTTCTGGTTGGTCGATCCACTCTGAAAGGCCCATGACGTTTCCCAATCCGCAAGGCAACTGTGTGCAGAAATGTGATTGAAACAGCGCCTCGACCCACTACTGCTCGAGCAGGCAACACTTGAGCTAAAATGGCTACGGGATCCCTCATGACGCGTTCTTGGGGTAGGTGTGCTATTGGTCGTGACAGCGCCGCCCGCCATCATGGAGGTGAGGCTTGGAATGCTGGGCAGGCTACTGGCCATGTTTGTTTGACATGTTTTTGCTTGGTACAGTTCCTCGTGAGGGCGAGGCTGAATGGCACGGCCTCTTGGGCGTTCTTCCTTTTCACTCCCAGGCCCCTGCCCTGCCTGCCCCCCACAGGTGCTGCAGGAACACGATGGGGGGCGGTGCGGCATGGGAACCAGGGCGGGCTCCGCACTCTGGTGCAGAATTGTTCCGATCTTGGCCCTGCCGCGCGCGCCTCCGGCCCATGCCGGACAAGGCGGCATGGCGCGGCATGGGGAGGCTGCCCGCAGCCTGCAGCTGGCACCACCGGGCTACGACAGCAACCTGCCGCAGCAGAGAAGGACGAGGCAGCAACTGGCCAGACGAACAGCAGCAGCAGGACCACGGAAGAGAAGCGGGGGAGGACGGAGGACCACGGGAGGCGGGGAGGGGGGGGGTGGGGGACAAGCTAGGTGCGCTCGCGTCATATCTGACATCCTCCCCCTCCCCCCCATCCCTTACCGTGGCGCAGATCCCCTCTCTGCTCGCTCCGTCCGATGTCGAGCAGGGCAAAATGGTCCCGAAAAAGTAAGGGAGGGGGCGACAGCGGCGAGGGAGGACTCGGATCCAGAGGCGTGGCCAGCTCGCGGGGGTGAGAGCGCCTCCGGCGGAATGAATGGGAGCACCGTAGCACCCTTTCTGTGTGTGACAGGTCGAACAGTTTTATTGTGAGGAATCCTGAGCAAGCTCCCCAGAACCAGAACAAATACATGCGACAGACAAGTCTCCAGTTGGAGAGATATCAGTTGTCACACTGATAAGAACAGATACTACACTTGATCATAGCCAAAAGGCCGAGAAGGTATCGAACAGTGGGGCGGGCTGCGGAGCGGTATTGTGATGGAAGCGGCGCCCAGCTGAAACAGGACCCACGGGGGTGGGCAGGGAGCGAGATGCTCCGAGCAAGCGCTTGTCGAGGGAGGGCGTGGGATGGGGGAGTGGACACGGGAGGGGGGAGGGAGAGTAGACAAGCGCGTTCCAGTACTCACACAATGACTACTCGCAAAGGGCCTGCATCCGCCGCGGTGGAGTTGCGATCCGTTACATCGAGGCGAGTGTGTGTGTGTGTGCGTGTTGTTCTGACGTTTGCGAATAGGCACTTTGCGACTAGTGAAGCGCACTCGGTGAGCGAGGGACAATGAATGCCAGGGGGACGGATGGGGGTCACACAGTAGGCGTACGGTGCCGGGAATGTGGGAATGGGGGGCCAAGAAGATGATTCGAAGGGAAGGGGGGAACGGAAGAGGGGTCCAGAATCGGGGACGGAGGGGGTGGAATGATAGGAAACAGGTTGGAGGCAGGGAATAGGGGGGGCCTGCGGAGAGGGGCGAGGAGGACGGAACGATGGTGAAAGCAACGACGGAGACCATCGCGCCTGCCAGAGGCGCAGTAGCCGTCGTGAGCTGAGCCGAAGTTGCGCGCTGTCAACCATGGAGGTTCTGTGCCCCGCTGGACGGAGTGACTGGCATGCCTCTACAAACGCGACACGATGTGGTCGTGTACCAGCACTTGCCTCCGAATGGTTGGCGGACGTCCACAAAGATACCATGCTCCTCCCCCCGCGTCCTCCCCCCCATCCTCCTCCCTCTCGATCTCCCAATCCTGTTCGTGGGCCTTACGTAGACACAACTCTGGCTTCGCGAAGTCGGAAGTGACCAACAATTCAACCCGGAACCCAGAACGCGTACCGGACAGGGCAAGAGATAGTGAGCACAGTCAGCCAGCTGCCCCCTCTTCACTACCATCGCAGTCGCTCTTTCATACTAGAAAGATCGTCCCCAGAAGATTTGTTCGACTATTCGCCTACGCTTCCCTTTCGGGGGAACTTTGGCGGGAGCGATCCACGCAAGGGCGGCATTCCGACCCCCCTGTGCGATGGAATGCGGCGACTCCCCCCCTGAGCAAAGCCCTGGCCGATGCTCAGAGGAGGTGGAGAGAGCAAGCCCTGGGCGATGCTCTCTCCATGTGCAGGGACATGCCCGACTTAAGCCCAACGCGCCAGGAAGGAGCGCAGCAGGAGGAGGGGCGGCCGCGAGGACGGGAGGAGGGGGGCCAAACGCCGCAGGCCGAGAGACATGGGGGGGAGAGGAGGAACAGGAGCGGTGAGGGGAGACGAATTGGGCGAGCGGGGCGGCGAGGTGCACTCGTTGCCATAGAGGGGGGAGCCGTCTTTGTCTCACACCAGCTGTATTCGCCTTCCCCCGTCTTTGGAGGAAGTCCTTGTGGTCTCACAGAATCCTTTGTACCAGCATCGATTATGGATAACATGTGTGCGTGAGAGCGGGATGCCCGTGATCTACTGCAGTGCATGTGGCGCCATCGCTGCCAGCAAAGCGATGAAGCTGCGAGACCTCATATGCAGACCTCGTGTGAATTCGCATCTGCGGAAGCTGCGCAAGGGCATCCTGCCAGGTGGTACGGAGGCAGAGCTGCTCCGGCCATGGCCCTTATTCCCCGGCGCCGCCGCTGATCCCTCCACCTCCATCCCCTCCGCCTCCCTGGTGGAGATTAGGCTTGCGAACCTGCAGGCGTTTGACCCCCGGGGGCAGGGGAGAGGGACTGAGGAGTGGAGGATAGGCCTTTTTCACTTGGTGTTGCATTGGGCTTCGGACCCGTCGGCACCCTTCCTGAGTTCTGAGTTCTGCCGACGGCAGGGCCGCCGCCAAAAAGACGAATTCAAGGGCGTCGCGCCTTCAAGCGCCAGGCCCAATCTCGGAAGCAAAACCGCCCCGAGAGGAAAAAGGAGGAGAGGCCGAGAGCGAAGGACGGGAGGGCACGAGCACGACCGCCATCCCACCACCATGCCGCCGGCGAGGACGCTGGCGAGGCGGCTGGCGACGCGGCCATCCTCGCTGCGCGAGGGCTGGGACCTCTCCCGGGGTGCGTCCTGACCAGAACTCCGCGGCGAATCCAACGGTGGCGACGAGAACCTCCCAGGAGGCCGGAAAAGAAGAAGAAGAACCGCCGAGGGGTAGAGGTATGGGTACCTGTTCCTCCTCCGATGTGTCTGTGTGTTCTCGCTTCCCTCCTGAGTGGGCCCTGGCAGGCAGGGCGAGGCTGCCCCCCCTCTGGGGCGGGGGCGCGCGGCCCACGGCGAAGGGGCCCCGGGCGCCCTGCCGCGGCCTCGCGCGCGCGGCGCCGCGCGGGCCCTCCTGGCCCGTGCGCCCCCTCGAGGTCGCTCGGCTGCGCCGGAGGGACGCCGGCTCTGCAGTTCGGACGAGCGAAATGGGTACGGACAGAATGGGCACAACGCCCAGCAATAGATGCTGTCCCAAACCAACAGCGGCCGCTGCGGCCTTCTGTCTCGAATGGACACAGGCCGCGGCGGCGTGGACAGCGAGTCCTGTTCAAAATGAGCAAGATCCGCTGAAGGGCATTGTACCCATTTTTT